TGCAGGACAGAACACAACTGAGTCACAATATTATGAAATGCCTGTGTGCAAATAATAAAACAAGTCAGAAATTTAAGCCTTTCTGCTGCCACAGTGGAGAGTGTCCTTTGTCCCAGAACAGATGGGGTCTTGAGTCCAGAGACTCTTCGAAGAATAAGAAAAAAAAAAATATATATATATATCTGCAGCTCCCATGATTTGACTTATATAGTCCAGTAATTATTTTGTGCAAACAATTCCCTCAGCATTGAGGAGCTGTTTTAAACCTGTTTCATGGTTTCACAGCTCACTATGAGCCCAGAGTGGTACCCATCAAATGCACTTTTCTCCTCTGCCTTCCCCCCTCCACCTCATCAAAGGGCTCGCACCACCATGGTAGCAGCCTCGGCAGTAACTGACCTTTCTGCTGAATTTTAAGTGGTTGCCAATTAAGAAGGTGGATTTTGCAATTAACTTTCTTACATTAGTTTCTTCGGAACACAAGGTGGATGGTAATGATTTAGTTGCTGTAGCTCTGATTATTTTTTTTTTATGACAGAATGACCTAGATAGTAAAGGTTAGTCCCTGTATCATTATGTCTCCTTCATCTCTGTTTCCACTGGAAAAGGAGCATTTGCATTTTGTTTTTTACTGGCAGAGAATACAGGAATGATCAAGTGAAGCACACAAGCCAAAAAGTGGCAGTTACAGTAACCCAGTCGTGCTCAGCCTTACCTCCGGTGGACATACAAGTTACAGTAATTAACTTGTCAAATTCTGTGGTAAACTATGATTTCATGATGTGTGAATTTTAAAGTCTACCTCAACAAGAATGACCTGTACATGAAGAGTTTATGAACCCTTTTGTGCTCTTTAGAAGAGCCCTATTGACATACCTAATGAAGAAAGCCACGGGAATGCAAGAGGGCACTTGGCAGTTTAAATCAAAATATGGAATATTTATGTGTAAGACCACTCATTAGTCTATAGAATGAGATGTTCTTTGTGAAATTCAGTCTTCCATTACAGCACGTGAGCCTGCCAACACATCACAGTCCTGGCTTGAAGAAAAAAATTGCATCCCTCTTAAATCTGTGACCAAGGACCAAATCAGGACCAAGTCATAGATCAGCCTTTTAGGCTGGGTTCCATCTGACAGTACCATGGGACATGGTGACCAACCCCAGTGCAAAAGCCCTATACAGTGTGATACAGCTGTAACTAAGGTATCTGGTGGCTGTTCTGCACCTCATAGTATGGGCTATGATGAAGTGATATTCATACACAGGAAAGCAGGTTGCAAATCAGATCATTTCACATGTTTTCCAGTATTAGATACATATTATTTAACCCCAAATTGCTGAGGCTATGGAGTTTCATGCTCAAGACTGAATATTAAGGTTGTAAGGCAAGTTTCATTTCCCTCTGAGTCATGGTTCCAGATAAACACTTACTATTGTGATAGTACATGGGAAGAGGATCAGGGAAGGGAAGGAGAGGATCACAAGAAGCTATCAAAACCTTTTCAGCTATTTAAATATACCTGTTGTGTTTCTTTTAGGCTTACCATGAGCTGTTAGAGAAGCATCGGCGAGCACAGTGGGAACTGGAGGAGGAGGATGACTGTGAGAGCACAGAGGCTGTTGCAGATCTCTACAAGGTGCCCCCTCTAGTGATACCTGTCATTTGCTAAAATAATACTGAAGATCCTCTAACCCCACTACACAATGTCAGGCCTTGGGGAGGATTGGGGAATTACAGGAAAGATCATGGCAGCTCCAGGAAGCTAGGCAGGCAAACCAGGAGATGGAGACAAGACAGTCTTCCACATTAGCTTGCCTTTTCCATTATCTTCCAAACACACTGTGTTTCCTAACCTCGTATCAGTCAGAAAATGCCTACGTGGTCTGCCAAAATGTGCTGCGTGGGTGGCTGACAAGGCTGCAATAACGTTGAGAGCATATAACATCTGGCATTACTACCAGGAGAGAGACTTCATTTGTGTAGTATAATTATCTCCTCTGCACCATGGTAGGATAGTACTATTCTTAGTTAACTTCACTACATCTCTAAAAATAGTTTTCTCATCTCTCTTCCTCTCAGAGGAGTTGTTTTGACACTAGTTAGTTCCCTGAAATAAGTTCAGATCTTTGGTGTAAGTAATATTTTTACACTTCTTTGTTACTGATTTGGAAGATGTGTAGATGCTTCATGCTTTTGCGTCATCTTTAATTATTTTCTGTCTGCACCTAAAAACTAAGATAACATGATCTATCAGATGAAGCCCAAAACTGTAGCCAGCAGTGACCTTTAATTAGGCTGGAACTAATCACTTTCAGCTCAACAGGATCCTTGTCATGATTAATTATGACCAGATCAGGGTGTTATGGAAACTTGTAGTCCGTATCACATTAGGATAAGATACCCACACAATCTTAATTAGCACTAGTCCACATGCACTTTTTCAAATTCAATTGATAAAATAAATAAAGCCACTGTATTTAGAACAAATAGTTTTGCCATGGTTTTATGTAATAGTGCAAGCCACAGGATATTTGAGAAGAACTACTGCTTTGGAGAAAGGAGAAGTTTGCTTGGAGGACTATGCCAGTGAATCAGAGTAGATTAATTGTACAAAGCTATTTAATTTAAAAAGAGTCATCATGTCTGCTAATATTACTGCGCACAGTCCATTCTCCAGAGTTACTTCTCCACCCCTTCCTCAATTCACATGAAGTCTCTCACATGGAGACCAAACAATTGTTTTTACCCTGCACAGTTCCACCTTATTTGTGAAATTATATTGCTTTCCTTTATTGTGTACTCTGCTTTAGTGACACTAAGATCAGACTGAACATCCTATTTCTTTCAGCACTGTTAGCTAAGTTTTCTTTTCCATTAAAGAAAAATTGGTTTGGGTGAATTAAGTGTTTCTAGAATTGCCGAGTTGCCACGAGAGCTGCACAAACTTGAACTCTGCCAATTCACCCAGCTCTAAGCCATTATATTCCATATTACAGCTGCTCTCTTATTCCTAGACTCAAACAAACACTGCCAGACATGAAAAACTGCAAGTGCTGTGATCCAGCTGGCATCTGTTGAATGAGGGTCCACAAATCTTAATTTCCACTTTTTTTTCCTATAATAAAACATTTTTATTGTGACATTTAACATAATGACCAACTGCACTTTCTCCCCTTAACCCTAAATACAGATACTACAGACTGTTTTAGGAGAACAGACTGCTTCTGAATATACCTTGGAAGCAGCATAAGCTAGAAAGAAGAGAAAATACAAACGAGCATAGCCCCACTGTAGGTAAATAGAACTGTTCTGACTTCTACAGCTGAGGGAAGTGCAGTGGTTACACATGTTGTCCATTACCTGGGGCATAAAAGCAAAGGTAGATTTGCCATTAAGGGAAGGAGTTGCATCTTGCAACCACAATGCCTTTGCTTCTCTCTGTGCTCCACCACACTTTCAGAGTAGAAGTACACCTTGGACAAACAGAAGCCTTTCCCTGGGCAGCAGGACTTTGCTCCTTCACTTAGTTTCTACGGGTTTCTGCTAGAGAGAAGCTACTGCTACCAGTGAGGAAGACAAGATACCCATGGGAAGGCGGTAGGGATTTGAGATACTCCACAGTGCAGTGGTGTGACTGCAGCTCAGGTAGACCTAAGCAAGCAAACATTAGACTAACCAGCTGGGTACCATCAACCCTCACATGGCAATAGTCAGCACTGTGCTACAAGACTTATGTCCCAGTCAGGTTTGAACAAGTTAGTTTGTAGAACCAGCTAGTTTGGGCACATCTGCAAACACTGCAAAGCTCTGTCTTGTCATTCCGGAAGGTCTGTACTTGCTGAAGCTTAACTGATAGTCATTTGCCTTGCACTCGTTTGGACTGTTTGGACTCTGCTGTTTCTGTTCTACCATGAGCAAGGAAAAGGTTAAATTAAAGATTTGGTTAAATATTCTATTGTTCACTTAATCTCCATATTTCCATAACTGCAAGCATGTGTTACTAAGTAATTAGAAGTCAAGTAAAGAAGTTCACCAGTAGAGAGTTCTGTTCTGTTGCTTTTTTATCATTCCAGTAGAAACGGAAGCCTAGCAATATTACCAAAAAACTGAGTGAAACTTTCTAAAGTCACCCTGGCATGCTCTGCAGATATTTAGATGAATATTCCTCAGCCTGTGGTCCACAAGACATCCAAAGATAGACCGCAAGACAATTTAAAAAAGATGCATTCATACATTTGTAAACACAGTCAGAGTGGAGAGAACTAGAAGTAATTAAATATTTAAAAGTTCAGCCCAGTTTTTATTTTGTTGCAAATGAAAATTAGCCATGCAAAACTGCACAAAGTAGTTATGCTTTCCCACACACAGAAGTTAAATAGCTGTTGGATTTAAGGGAAATAAAACCGAGATATTTTACTAGAAGCTAATTACCTAAATCCAAGAGGAGGCAAAGTGTTATCTAAATCACAATTTCTCCATAACAAGGTTTAGCAATAGCATCCTTTATGCCTCTCTACCAAGTAGCTCATATTCTCTAGTGGCCCAGGATTAAAGAAATATCACATATTTCTTCTGGGCTGAACAATCTAATATTGTCCAGTACTTACAGGATTTAGGGTTCCCGACAAGTTCCTGCTTGTGTACCCATTGCCATCTTGACTTTGGTTGGAATCCCCCAGAACTGGAATGAATCACACCACACTTTTCAGATTAAGGGCAGCAGAACCCAAACCATGGTGAGGTTTTTCTTCTAAATCCAAGCCCTCCATTTTCTTAAGTTGCTTTCATGGTCCTTGGGGCATCATCAGTATTGCAATTTATCAGATAAACACCAATATCCTAGTAAAGAACAGCCATGTTGGTTCAGACAAATGACCATTTGGAGTAATATCCAATAAGTTCGTGTACTGTACCAGCACCAGTGCTAGAGAGGTGCATAATACCCAGTTAGATAGAGTTAGGTCCTGTTCTCAGGCATACCTTCAGCTAAGAGCAGTTACTAGCAGCTTTCAAAGCAACTTAGAGCATACAGGTGCCTCCATCCTATATCAACTTTCTAAACCGTCTGCCCCCATTTAAGTACTGTATCAAAACTTACACTGTAGATGACAAACCGGAATAAATCCTCAAGAAAGACAGCCAGCATAAAGTTCCCAAGGGTTGCACTCTGACAAATTCACTTGACTGAGTGCAGAAGCCCAAGTGCCCAGCCATCACCCTAAGCTCATGGTCCTTAGCTGCTGTATTTGAAGGCCATTACACCTTTTTTTTCAAGGTAAAGGTACCTGGCAAGGTCTTATATGTGATAAAAAGTTTAGGCCCTCCGTTCCTCCTTCAGTTGTGCACTAGAATGACTTGACTTACTTCAACAGTTACCGTGGTTTGTCCTAGTATAAGCAAGCAGGGAAGCAAGCCTGACAGACTTAGTTTCATGAATAAGTAGAAAGATAACCTCAATGCAAGAGGTGATAGTAAAATATAAAGAAAAGGTCTCCATGTGACCAAATAGGGAACCAATGAATATCCTGGGGACAGACAAAAAGATGTCACATACCTGTAAGTGCCACTCACTTGCAGGAGAAGATCCTTACCTTGTTCTCACAATGTTCTTCAAAGCCCGTCTCAAATTTCTATGTCTTTTTTATTTTTTCATTTTATCCCCTTCTAAACGGTTGGTGAGTTCACCAAGATAGATTTATATAACCCTCTAGCACTACTGTAGCCTGTAGTGCTACAGTACATCAAAGAATTATCTAAATTGGTGAATAAATACGTAAAAATGCAATGATCTGGAAGCTGACTGTGTTTGCATAGAATAATTGAGTAGGTTTGTTTTGTGTACACATGAATAAATCAATTAAAATGATTTAACCAAGGTCAATGGAATCTGTTGATACCTGAAGTGAATGAATGAGTTATATTTGGAGGATAGGGTAGGACTTTTCAACTATACTAGTGGATTAAAATAGTGTGCTGTAGGTGAATAGTCTGTGTCTAGACACAGGCACCATAACTAATTTTTGAAGTGCAAGTTGAGGAATGGGGGCAAGTGATTTTGATTATCACAGTATATCATAACTGAAGGAGGAGTTGTGTCAGAGGTAATTGAATAGCTCAGCCTAATATTTTCATAAACACAGACTGCAGAGTTATCCCATACACAAGGGATATTGTGCTGCAGTAACAGTTTTGTTTAGGCTTGGAAAGCTTTTCAATTGCAAAGCTTTTACCGTAATTTTCTTTTACATGGCAGCAGAAGCACCCCTCCGATATATACTGTTCTGTTTCTCGCGATCTCTTGAATCAAAAGATTAATGGCTAGCTCCTTGCAAGTCTGTCTCAAGTTTAGCGTATCTGATGTTCACCAACCTTTAATCTTTGCTTTCTCCTTTTTTTTTGT